CCTCCCCCCAGCACACTGCAGAAGGGGTGGCTCTGAGCCCCCGCTTCAGGATGGCAAATACTTTTCCCTGCCCCTGACCTGTAGTTCTCACGGATATGCTGAAAGGTTTGGCTTCCTTGTGCTCAGTAAATCAGGAAAATGCTTTCTTATGATGCTGTTCCCATAACTGAGTGTTCCTTGCCATCCTCTGTAAAAATCACCATCTGCTCTCCCAAATTCTTCTGGAAAGAGCACCGTAACCATGTTGTTCTAACAGCAATTTGCCGCGAAGAAAGGCAAGCCACTCCTGCGGTTTCCCAGCTCCTTGTGCCAACTCCCACGCCCTCTCCACAGCCCACGCTGCCTGGCCACCCCGGGGGACATCTGGTTCCTGTGCTGCTCTCTGCAAGACAAGGACCAAGCTCCAAACAGGAGAGAGCGCGGTGTCCTGAAGGAGATGGCGGCTGTTGTCAGGCAGTCCCGTGGCTTCCTCTGACTGCCCAGGTGGGACCAAGCGCAGGTGCCTGGCACTGCAACTTTCAGTCTGACTTCATAACTTCCAGGTTTCCCTGCAGGCTCCTTCTCCCAGTCCTGAACTGTTAGCAGCAATTACCCACAAAGTGTCCCATAATGGCTTTTCCTCTGTTTGGAAGATGCAGATGGCCGTGTCCCAAGTTTTCCCTACCTAAGATCCTCCTCAATAGGGGAATGGACTCAGTCTATCTGAGGATCAGGAATCCAGGGCGGCCTTTGCAATGCCGTTATGCTTTCCCCAAGTCGGATAAACAGTCTTCTGATGAATCACGGCCCTTCCTTTTCCTTCCCCACCTGTCGGCCAGTCACCTGGTAATGATGGTGGTAAACGTAGCAGACATACACACGCCCCTCCCAGAAATCCCAGGACTTGTCTTGGGAAATACTTTCCTAATTAAAGCCTTTTGAGAAGCTGAACATTTTTCTTGAACGTATCTAATTTTTGTTGCAGAAGCATTTTAATCCTGCATTGAGGAGCACCTCACCCCAACATCCTCCTACTGAATTACCCATCCTTCCTCACTCCTTTCTCCTCACTAATCATGCAAGTCTTTGTTTAAATGACCCGGGTGCCCAAAGCATAATGACATCTTCAGTGTATTTTTAGAGATGATTTATTCCAAACATTTACAATTTTTACTTTAAATGCAAAACAGCTGGTTAAAAGAAAAAACATTGAAAAATATATCATACTGACCCTCTGCCCCATATACGGATGCAAGCCTTGGGTATTTGCTTTCGGCTAATTAACTAGACAAAGACAAAAACAAAAACCTAAAACTATTATTTCTCTCCAAGAAAATAATGTACAGTTGAGGTATTCTATTTAACTGATGTGGTCTCTACCCAATAAGGTCTCTCTGTTATCCAACAGCCGTGCTACATGTTGTTCCCATCCTTTCCTTCTAAAGGAGATTTTCGTGTGAGCATATGTGCATAAATCTGATGATCTTCCTTAATAATCATTAAGGTTGCCATAGAAACTCCCTGGAGCCGGCGTCCAGCCACACTGGGGACAGGAGCTTGGAGGGACCTTCAGGGAATAATCAGGAGTACCTGGCGCAGAACCTGCAGTCTGGCCTGTTCCCTCCATCAGTGACCCACTGCTGACTGCTACACAGGATCGTTCAGTGTAGGGCTCGTGCCCCAAAAGCCCCCGAGTCTCCAAATCAAGACAGATGTCTCACCAACTCCACCTGGAGCTGAGTGTCGGGATCCACTCCAGCTGGGTCGGTCTTAAGGCCCAGTCATGACACAGCTCAGCACCAAAGCAGCAGGGCAAGGCTGGGTGCAGTGGCTCAAGCCTGTAATCCCAGCACTTTGGGAGACCAAGGCAAGAGGACTGCCTGATTCCAGGGGTTCGAGACCAGCCTGGGCAACTTGGCGAGACCTCATCTCTAAAATAAACCAAAAAATTAGCTAGGTGTGGTAGCGCATGCCTGTAGTTCCAGCTACTTGGAAGGCTGAGGTGGAAGGATTGCCTGAGCCCAGCAGGTCAAGGCTGCGGTGACTATGAATGTGCCACTGCACTCCAGCCTGGGCGACAGAGTGAGACTCAACTAAAAAAAAAAAAAACAGCAGGGCAAGACATTCCTGATCATTCTCCAGAAAACAAACCCATAAACCATTCCCAGGCAGCTCTGTTCACCACCAGGTGGGCTCCCAACCCAGCTCCAGCAGCAGACTCTACAACTCGCTGCGCTGACTGGGTTTCCTTTCTCCCAAGACAGCCGGGAAAGCTGGAGCCTCGGTGTGAGCTCAGAGCCTGGCGGACCACAAGGGCCAGGCCCGGTCCCAGCAGAGAGCTCTGAGTCACCAAGGACCTCGTAGGCATATTCAATGCTACCTCCTTGAAATATTTTTTTTTAATATTTCATTAATGCTACAAGGATTGACGATCACTTTAATTTAGACCTTGCACCGGTCTTGTTTTGTTTTGTTTTGAACTTTTCCCACCCAGCAGGATAAGTTGTTGTGTTGAATCTAAATTGTCTCTGTCCCAACATGTCACACCGGGCTGCGTGTCAGATGGCTACAGGTGTCAGATGAGTGACAGCACTGTTGAGGATACAAGGCAGCAGGTGTGCTGCAAAAACACATGTAAGAATGACCCGTGAGCTGAGACACATGCTGGGCCACCACAGATTAAAGGACAGAGAAAGCTTAGGGTTTATATCTGTGTACACAAGAGCAAGGCCTTCAGCCCAGAGAAGACAAACACATTTCCTTCATTTATTTTAGCTTATAAAAAAAAAGGGAAAAAAACCCTCTTCAATGCAAAAAAAAAAAAAGGCAGTTCCGTTACAATCATAATGAAAGCAATAACAATTTGGAGATCAAAGCTGCCTAGCTCAGTGGTCATAAGCTATCTAGATTTCACATCTTTGACTAGCGGGGCTCTGCCCGGCTCCGGTGACATTACATGTGGGTAAAACAGTGTAAAAATTAAAGAACCCTTTATCCTGCACATTCTCATTTTTAATATTTCCCTTGAACAGCGTTTTTGCTGTTCTCAAGTCCCTGAAACTTTAAAGAGAGGGAAACAAAGCAAACGGCCAGAGACTGCTTGCTTGACTTTTGTCAACTTAAGGCCAGTTCCCTCAAGCAGCAACAGGGCCTAAAACATACAGAAAAATGCAGACCTGAAAATCACTACTTGCTGAAGATAGTAACAGGTTGAAGCTGGCAAACAGTAAATAAAACACAATGGTTTCCATCCTTTCACACCTGTCGGGTGGTGGCGGTTGTTTTTCTGAAAGGGCAGAGTACTAGAAAAGTCCTGTGGTCTGGTAAATTCTGGATCCGTGGTTCCATGACTGATTTTAATCACATTTCTGCTCCGGGATACCCTAGTACTTTGGGGTACCTGTCTGGGAAACCACTAACATCACTGACTTCTCAAAGCCTGGACAGAAAAGTCAGCTGAAGTGGTTAGTCACAGTGTCACGGCTAGACATTTAGCCAGTGTGTGCCAATTCTAGCTGCACTGAACCAATCTCCAGGAACTAAACAAAAAGAGGAAGGTACCGCGGTAAGGGGTTTTTCTAATGAACCTCCCCTTTGATGACCAAGGCCTCCTGTCTTTCTGGGTGGGGAATTTCTAGGACCTTGCCTGGTGACCGTGGGAGGCCTGCTTCCCAGCACCACGACAGACGGGATACTCTTTTCTTCACAGCCGCCTGCGGGGAGCCATCGCGAGCTCCTCTTCCCCAGAGGCAGAGAAGACGCAGACTGTTTTTCCACTTTTCAAAAGATAAAAACAAAATACAGAATGAAACCAGAATCGCTTCTCCAACTGGGAAAAATATTTCTTTCTCTTCCTCCATTTTTCCCCGGACTTGATTTTGGTGCTCAATGGAGCTGTGCTCCCCCCACCCCCAAGTTATTTATGCGCCAACACAGTGAACCCTGAATCTCCCACCCTCTCAAAAGAAAATCGTCAGCAGTTTTTTTAAACAATCAAATTCAATACATTCTTGCCGGGCTCTTTTTTCTTTTCACGTTATCTTCCCCAGTTACTCAGGTTCAGTTGAAAATAAGATAAACAAAGCTGGAGTAAACCAGTTTTGATCTCAGCACTGGCAGAAGCCCTCCCAACTGCCTGCTCTCCTTGGAGGAATGTGGAGAGACAGAGGATGCTGGTTTTCAGAGGCTGCAGTCCCCCTCAACTCTCCTTCTACAGGGGACCGAGGAGGCCCTGTCCCCCACTGCCCTCCCCTTCTCTGCTTCTCTCTTCCTGAAGTCCTTCGACCTACAGTCAAAGCAGTTGCTTCTATATTCAGCCAATGCCTAGGACGATCATTCACATTTAGCAAAATGCTAATGAGGAACTAATTATAATTCCATTTAAAACCATCAGGCCCCTGAGATACTGTATCATTCACCCACCCACCCACCCCCAGCCTTTTGGGGGGAAGAAAGGCACGAGAGAGCATCTCCCCCCAGCCTCAGCAGTTTAAGTAAAAACCGTCCTCAGGACTAGAAAAATGGAATCGCGAAGGCACTTGGGTTTTCAGAGCTGGAAGATGGAACCGTGCAGTGGGCCCGGAGAGAGGTGGCTGGGGGTGGCTTTGGCTGGCATTCCGCCCCACCTGCCTGAGTGCGGCTGGTGCAGAGGTGTTGGGGGTGGGCCACCAGCAATCTCTCCACACTGGGCCACCTGGCTCTGCCCACCTGAGTGTCCCAACAGTCTTGGCAAGGCTCTCTTCACAGTGGCCTAAGTTCACCCAAATGCCCTCAGGCAGGGTATTTGGGAAGGGAGGTGGAAAAAAATCCAACCACCTCTCTCTTCTGAACAGATGCAGCAAACTTATTTTCACCCAGCGTAGAACCTTCCACAAGGCTCTTCTGGGACAATGAAGCCAAAGGCCCCATGGCCCTGAGACAAGCTGGCGTGGCAGTGAGAAGCGTCTTTTGCCGGCCCCGTCGGCGCTGTCATCCACACGGTCCAGCATCTGGGACCAGTCTGCCCGGCACCACCCGGCCAGTTATCTGGGGAAGAAGTAGTCTCTATTGCTGATGTCATAAGGGCTCCGTGGGTCCCTGGCATCTGGTCGGCTGTGGCTTGAGGCGTTGTCAGACCCAAGGCTGCTGGGGGACACCGGTGGAGAGATGAGGGGAACAAGCACTGGGGTGGGCCTGGGCCTCTCGGGGACCAGCTGCCCCAAAGAATATGGCGGGTGCATGCTGGTCTTGCCTTCCTTCAGAGCTCTCAACTTCCATGTCTTCTGGAACCTTCACACAAACACACAAAGAGAAATCACACAGATGTTAGTTCTCCCTGTGATAAACCAACGGTGAAAAACACCAACAGCTGGCTGCCTGGTGGCCCGACACTCCCAGGCTTCAGTTCAAAGCAGTGATAACTAACCCATCAGCTGCTTTTGTTTTTGTTTGAGACAGAGTTTTGCTATGTTGCCCAGGTTGGATTTGAACTCTTGAGCTCAAGTAATCCTCCTGTCTCAGCCTCTCAAGTAGCTGGGACTACAAGGTACATACCACCATGCCTGGCTCCATCTGCTATGTTTGTTTGTTTGTTTGTTTGTTTGTTTGTTTGTTAATCACCAGGGATTTCAAAATACTCTGAAGAGTTGGTGAGTTTCAAAAACACCCTGAGAAAATAGGTACGTATTGTTGATCCAGTTTACATACAGGTGGAGAAACTGAGGCACACATGGCCATGAGTACCAGAAGGTCATTTAACAATCCCTTAATTTGTCCTATTTCAGAGGCTGCCCATTAGGTACACATCATCAATCCTGTTTACTTAAAAACGAGAAGGCCAGGCACAGTGGCTCATGCCTGTAACCCCAGATCTTTGGAAGGTCAAGGTAGAAGGATTACTTGAGGCCAACAGTTCAAGAACTGCCTGGGCAACATAGTGATACCCCATCTCTAAAACAAGTAAAAATATTTAGCAGGACATGGTGGCTTATGCCTGTAATCCCAGCACTTTGGGAGGCTGAGGTGGGAAGATTGCTTGAGGCCAGGGGATTGAGGCTGCAGTGAGCTATCATCATGCAACTGGACTCCAGCCTGAGGGTCAGAGTGAGATACCCTGTCTCTCTCTCTCTCTCTCTTTTTTTTTTTTTGAGTTGGAGTCTTACCCCGTCACCCAGGCTGGAGTGAAGCTCACGGCCACCCCAGTGTCGACCTGTTGGGCTCAGTGATCCTTCCGCCTCAGCCTTCAAGTAGCCGGAACTACAGGCAAGAGCTACTACACCCAGCTAATTTTTTATTTATTGTAGAGATAAGGTCTCGCCAATTTGCCGGGGCTGGCCCTGTCTCTTAAAATGAGAGAGAGAGAGAGAGGAATAAAGTATGAGCATTCTTTTAGTGAGGAAGGAAAATGGGCCTCTCGGTCAAATCCAGGCTGGCAGGAGGAAGGAGGAACATTTGTAACTGGCATTTAATAGCAGGAAAAGGTCTGCTCTGCTCCTTCACCAGCCCTCCTGTTCCTCTCACTTCCAACTTTCCCATCCGCCCCAATTCTCGCTGCATCTCTGGGTCTACACCCACCACGCTGGTGAGTTCTCACAGACACAACCGTGGGCACCATTGGGCTCAAGTTGACTCATCTGACAGGAAAGTCATTGTTACACAGGAAGGAGATAGACATCTCTCTGATCACAGCTTCGTTCATGGTGCTCCACTCTGGGCCCAAAGCCAGGGCTCAGCGACTGAGAAAAGTCACTTGACAGCTCAAAGAAAGATGAGATGGTGATATCGATCTTCAAAGGTACAGTGACGTCTCCTTCCTGACAAGGCCCTTCAACCGTGCTGGGGTAGCCAGGGCCCCAGCCTCACCACCTCCTCTGGCCTCCCACCTTGTGACATGTCTTACCGCCTACTAATACAAAAGTGGGAGAAAGGTGGCCTCCCTCAAGTCCATCAAAGATCAATTACTCCAGGAAGGGCTGGGAGGCAGGAGGGGAAACCAATGTCAAAAACAAGATTTGGGGATTTTCCTTGCGTTTCTTTTTATGCGGACAGGTTATTCCTGTCCTTGTTATGATAAATAATTAATCACTGGCTTCAAATCTGCCACTGGCTCTTAGCCTGGTATCCAAATGGAATAAACAATCTGCAGAATATTACTTAGGGCCTCACCATTTGGACACCACACAGGAAGATAGCCCTGCAGGGGTGCTTACTGAAGCTATGCTGAGTCACTGAGAGACATTCCCTTCCCCTACTGGAGGACTGAGGGGAGAGTCACTCATTACACTCTGGATTTCAAAATATTCAGACCCTCTGACCCAGGATTCCACTTCTGGGAATATGCCCTAAAGAAATAAAACAGCCATGGAGAAAACTTTATGCACAAAGATGTTCAACACAATGTTGTTTAAAAAGCAAAACAATACCCAAATGCCCAAAATAGGAAGTTGGTTAAATGAACTCAGTATATCTACCTAGTATTACAGCTAACAAAAATGAGATTTTAAAAGAAACTGTAATAAGGTGAAAAAATGCTTATGTTACAGTGCTAAATTAAAAAGGTAGGGGGGTTCAGAGTTGCAGATACGGAATAATCACGGCTATGTAAAGACAAGAAACCAGGCAGAGGGAAAGGACTCAGAGGAAGTTCATCTAAATATTAAATGCTCTTAATCTGGGTGTTGATTGCATGGGTGTGTTCACTTTGTGCAAATTCATGGAGCTGAACTTATGACGTGTGCGCTTTTCTGTGTTTGTTACACTTCAGTCATACTTACATTTTTTTTTTTTTTTTTTTTGGAGTGGGAGTCTCACTGTCACCCAAGCTGGGGTGCAGTGGCATGCTGATGGCCACCACAGCCTTGACCTGCGGGGCTCAGGTGATTCTCCCGCCTCAGCCTTCCATGTAGCTGGGACTACAAGCTCACGCCACCACACCTGGCTAATTTTTTAATTTATTGTAGAGACGAGGTCTCACCATGTTGTTCATGATGGTCTTGAACTCCTGAGCTCAGGCAATCCTCTCACCTTTGCCTTGGCCTCTGTCTCCCAAAGTGCCGGGATTATATGAGACACTGTGCCCAGCATATTGACATTTTAAAAATTCACAGTCCTGTCTTTAGACAACATGATCTATTTCTTCTATTTATCCGTATTTAGCAAATCACCTGTAATAATCATATATGTATATATATATTTTTTCCCCCTTAAGTACTTGTTGGCCTTATTTAGCCTATAGAGAAGCAATCTCTGCCCTCAGTTTTTTTTCAAAGCTACTTACTGGATGAGTCACTGAGAAAGGTGAGCTTTCCTTCTGAAAGATTTTGATGAGGGAATGAAACCTTTTCTGAACATCACTAAGCTCAAAGGGGCCTTTGAAACCAGCCAGTCAGCCAGGGGACAACCACACCCGCCCCAGGTGTGAGGAGCAGGGCCTGAGGGCAGGAGAGGATATGGGCCCAGAGAAAGAAGAAACAGCTAAGCTAGCGGACTTCATTTGTACCGTGACCTCCACCTTTTATCTATTTTACATATTTGGGCTTCAAAGAGCTCTTTTTAAAGAAAAGCTTCGGTAGCTAAAAGAATTTTGTTAAGCACTCATAACTCTCATTCTTTTTAAAAAATGAGACGTCAGCCGGCTCGGTGGCTCAGCCTGTAATCCCACGCCTTTGAGAGGCTGAGGTGAGTGGATTGCCTGAGCCCCCTGGTTTGAGACCCACCTGGGCAGGTGAGACCTCATCTCTACAATAAATCAAAAAAATCAGCCGGGCGTGGTAGCGCGCGCCTATAATTCCGGCTACCTGGAAGGCTGAGGCGGAAGGATCACCGGAGCCCAGCAGGTCGAGGCTGCGGTGGCCGGGAGTGGCCACTGCACTCCAGTCTGGGCAACAGAGTGAGACTCCAACGCAAAAAAAAAAAAAAAAAAATGAAACGTGAAAACAAAGACCACCTCCCAAGGCCACAGAGAATACCCACAGCACCCAACCACTTCTGTGTCCCAGGACACAATGAAAGCCCCTCTGTTCCCCACACCCCCATGGAGGTGGGAAAGAGCTCAGATTTCTTTTTATTTATTTACTTATTTTATTTTATTTATTTATTTTTGAGTGGGAGTGTCACTCTGTCACCCAGGTTGGAATGCATGCTCACAGCCACTGCAGCCTCGAACTGCTGGGCTCAGGTGATCCTTCCACCTCAGTCTTTCAAGTAACTGGAACCACAGGAGCGTGCCACCACGCCCAACTAATTTTTTGATTTATTGTAGAGATAAGATCTCTCTAAGTTGCCCAGGGTGGTCTCAAACCCCTGGGATCAGGCAATCCTCTGGCCTTGGCCTCCCAAAGTGCTGGGATTACAGGCATGAGCCACCACGCCCAGCCCAGAGCTCAGATTTTCAAACATTGGAACGAGACGCTGCATTCAATACAAAATACACTGGAAGAATCCTATTTTCCCAGCGCCTGAGAGCATAACATAAAGAAAAAGAATCGGTGGGGGGCAGGGAATAGGGTAGAAGAATTGGTCCTAGTAAGTTATAATTTCACTTAAGAAGATGGCAAACCTGGCTGGGCACAGTGGCTCATGCCTGTAATCCTAGCACTTTGGAAGGCCGAGGCGGGAGGATTGCTTGATCCCAGGAGTTTGACACCAGCCTAGGCAACATTGTGAGACCTGTCTCTACAAAAAAAAAAACACAAAAATTCAGCTGGGCATGGTGGCATGAGCCTGTAGTCCCAGCTACTTGGGAGGCTGAGGTGGGAGGATCACCTGAGCCCAGGAGGTTGAGGCTGCCATGAGCTGAGATCATGCCACTGCACTTCAGCCTGACCAGCAGAGTGAGACCCCAACTCCCAATTAAAAAAAAAAAAATTAAAGAATATGGCAAATCTTTTTCAATAGCACATTTAGGTCTTTTACAATTATCACTGATATTATTGGGAAACTGTTTAGGAAAATAGTATTTTGGGGAAGCAAAATAAACGTACCAAAAGTAAAAATATGTAAAAAACCATGGCCTGGCAGGATGGATGTCAACCTGCCTCTCACATTCTGCCTATTTTACATGGGATCATTCCAGTGGTCACCGTGGCTCAGTCATGGTACTCCCAGGTCCCCACAGTATCACTAAGCTTATGCTCTTTTCTTGACAGGAAGGATTTAGGGAATGGAGAACATTTTCATCACTTGAAATAACTGGCCTCTTTCCAAATAAATTTGTCTTATTTGGAAGCAAATGGAAATTCACTAGGCTAGAAAATAAATTACTGCCATGTTCTCAGCATAAGACACTTGCCCTGTCTTGTGCCTGCAGGGACTCTTGTTGTCTAGCAACCAGCTAGTGTTTGAGCATCATCAGCAGATTAGCAAACTAGGTCTGTTCCGAACCTAATGCTTCTCCACTAGCCATCAATACCATACCAAGGTGGCACAGCTTGTTAAGGACCATTGGAGGATTCATGGGATCAGCTGGACCCACCTCTAAGCCAACAGCAAGTTAGGACCATGGGCAGGACTCTCAGGGCATATGTTCCAGTCCTGGCTCTTGCTTGTCCTTGGACAAGACTTTTTACCTTTGGAGACTGTTTCCTCTTCATTTATAAAATGAAAGAAATTGGCTAGATGACTTCTCAGGCCCCATTCAAAGAGCATGAGCTTTGAGTTTGAATCTTAACCATACACTTATGCGCTGTTAGCATGCCACCTCTTTCAGCTTCAGTTTTCTCATCTGTCAAATGGAAATCATATCTACTCTTTTGGGTCTGTGGATTATGAGAAAGACCTGTTGAAGCCCGAATAATGTAGAAACAGAAACAGAACACAGGAGGATGTGCCTATGGTGTGAGGCGAGGAATCCCTTGGCAGGCAGAAGGGTCCCCTCTCTGGCTGACAGGAACAAAAAGTATCACTTCCCCCAAGGAACTACCTCCACTCATTAGGAACCTTATCTTCTGCATAACCTTTGGAGAGCTTGCCCATGACTTAAAACCAAAGTGAAGGCTGGGGCAGGGTGGCTCAAGGCTGGGCAGGGTGGCTCAAGCCTGTAATCCCAGGATTTTGGGAGGCCAAGGTGAGAGGATTACCTGAGTTCAGGGGTTCGAGACCAGTCTGGGCAACTTGGTGAGACCTTGTCTCTACAATAAATAAAAAAATTAGCTGGGCATAGTGGTGCGCACCAGTGGTTCCAGCTATTTAGAAGGCTGAGGTGGAAGGATCGCCTGAGTCCAGCAGGTTGAGGCTGTGGTGGCTGTGAGCATGCCACTGCACTCCAGCCTGGGCAACAGAGTGAGACTCCAACTCAAAAAAGAAAAAGGAAAAAGAAAAAGGAAGGGCCAAGTGTGGCTTCTCCTCCAATTGTTATCATCACAACTAACTAAAGGACCCAGCCTGACTCCTTTTAGGGCTTCAGCTTATGAAAAATAGCAAGTCCCTGCGACTGGATCATGAACACAGAACACTTTCATTGTGCCCATTCACTAAGAGTACTATTGACTGACATTTCTGCAAGCTGGGAATGAATGACGAAACCAATGGCCAAATGGAGAGAGTGTGAGTGGGAGGACATGGGCATGATGAGACAGTGGCCAGGGCGCCAACTCAGCCTAAACAAGTATTTCCTTTTTTTTTTTTGAGTTGGAATCTCACATTGTCCCCCAGGCTGGAGTGCAGTGGCATGCTCCCGGCCACCACAGCCTCGACCTCCTGGGTTCAGGTGATCCTTCCAACCTCAGCCTTCCAAGTAGCTGGAACTACAGGCGTGCACTACCACACCCAGCTACTTTTTAAATTTATTATGGAGACGAGGTCTCGCCAAGTTGCCCAGGCTGGTCTCAAACCCCTGGGCTCAAGCAATTCTCTCACCTCGGCCTCCCAAAGTTCTAGAATTCCAGGCTCGAGCCACTGCGCCCAGTCAAACAAGTATTTCCTAACCACGGCAGGAAGAAAGTGTTAGGGCAGAACATTAAAAGGTGTCCCTTTAGTTCTGCTTGTATTGAGACATGGAATATTCCCCAGGAGGTCTTGCCAGTCACTTTGGATTTAGCCTGGATTTAAGCACACCTCTGTTGGGGTACTTCTCACACATCATTTAATCATTTTCATATGTGGCTCTTGGAAGGGAGGAAAAGCCATATTGATACCACAATTCCAGCTCTTAAGGTATTTCTTCGGTGTCCAACGCACACCCTCTCCGTCTGGTTTTCCCAACACCAGAGCCTCCCAGTTCTTCTCCAGCCCCACTGGATGCTCCTTCTCAGCTCCTCCCCAGCTTCTTCTCTTCCTCTCCACAACTTTCCAATGCTGGACATCCGCAGGGTCCAGGCGTCGGCCCTCTCATCACCCTCTCCCATGGCTCTAGTTGCTGTCTCCATGCTAGTGACAACCTGCGTTGTCCTCCAAACACGTTCACTTGAGGTTCTTGGGCATCCCAAGCTCAGCAGATCCCAAGGTGGAAATCATCGTTTTTCACTGAGACTTATCTCTCCTCTGGTGTTTCCAGTCTTAGTGAATGTCACCACCATCTGCCCAGTTGTTGAAGCCAGAAACTTAAGGATCGTTCTCAACTCCTCCCTCTGCTTCATCCTCCTTTTTTTTTTTTTTAATTTTTTTAGTTGATGAGATTTTCTTTTCTTTTCTTTTTTTGAGTCGGAGTCCTCTGTCACCCAGGATGGATGGAGTGCAGTGGCATGCTTACAGACCACAGTCTCAACCTGCTGGGCTCACGTGATTCTTCTGCCTCAGCCTTCCAAGTAGCTGGAATTATAGTTATGCGCCACCATGCCTAGCTAATTTTTTGATTTCTTGTAGAGATGAGGTCTTGTCAAGTTGCCCAGGCTGGTCTTGAACCCGTGGGCTCAGGCAATCCCCTCACCTCAGCCTCCCAAAGTGCTAGGATTATAGGCGTGAGCCACCACACCCGGCCGAGATTTTCAAGAGAGATGGAAACATTTTAGACCTTCCCTTGAAGATGGTAAGTGTCTGGTAGAGGGTTCTAAGAAGAACCTGATCAGGTTTGCAGTATTTCAAACCATGCTCAGTAGAGTTTGGAGACTGGATGGGAGAGGTAAAAATGGATGCAGTAGACCAGAGACTAGGGAAGAGTTAATAGAAGCCTGTGCCAGGATGGTAGCAATGGGCTAGAGCACTGTGAATGAATTCAAGAATATTTAGAGGTAGATGACAGATTAGAAGAGGAAGATGGTAGCCGGGCATGGTGGCTCACACCTGTAACTTAGGGAGGCTGAGGCGAAAGGATTGCCTGAGCCCAGGGGTTCGAGACCAGCCCGGGCAACTTGATGAGACCTCATCTCTACAATAAATCACACACACACCAAAAAAAAACTAGCCAGGCGTGGTGGCATGTGTCTGTAATTCTAGCTACTTAAAAGGCTGGGGTGGAAGGATTGCCTGAACCCAGCAGGTCGAGGTTACAGTCGCTGTGAATGTGCCACCACACTCCAGCCTGGGTGACAAGAGTAAGATTCCAACTCGAAAGAAAGAAAGGAAGGAAGGAAGGAAGGAAGAAAGAACCACCTCTCTTTCAAGGCTTTTCATAACCTGGCCCCAGCCCACCTCTCTACTCTTCCCCACCCAAAGGTCCCCCAGTACTGTTACACATACACATGCACACACGTGCACACACATGTATGTATGCACACGCCATAATACATACTAAGCTTCTCTCCTAGCGTCCTCTTCTTTCTCTTCCTCCTAAATGCCAGGTGAAGTATCCTACCACAGGATGCTCTTTGTTTAGCTCTCACCACATACCAGTAGTTGCCTCTGAGTGTCTGAGACTCCCTCTATCCTGTCCACCATTGTCTCCTGCAGTGCCTAAAAACAGGGCTTGGCATAATGGTAGGTGCTGTGTGTGTTGTGATGTGTGCATTCACTTGTTGAATGAATAAATGCATGAATGAATACTCCGTAAATTTCTGACATCTGAATGGTCAAAGGAAAGCTAGATAAGAAATATAAGCAGCGCCAGGCTCAGTGGCTCAGCTTGTAATGCCAGCATTTTGGGAGGCCAAGGCAAGTGGATTGCCTAAGCCTGTGGGTTCAAGATCCACCCGGGCAACTTGGTAAGACTTTGTCTCTACAATAAATCAAAAAAACTAGCTGGGCATAGTAGCACGTGTCTGTAGTTCCAGTTACTTGGAAAGCTGAGGCAGAAGGATCGCCGGAGCCCAGGAGGTTGAGGTTGCGGTGGCCGAGAGCATGCCACTGCACTCCGGTCTGGGCGACAGAGTGAGACGCCAACTCAAAAAGAAGAAAAGGAAATATAAGCAGCCTGGACAACATAGTGAGTCCTTGTCCCTACAAAAAATTAGTCAGGCGTGGTGGTGCACACCTGTAGTCCCAGTTATTCAGAAGACTGAGGTGGAAGGATCACCTGAGCCCAGGAGGTCAAGGCTATGGGAAGTCATGATCATGCCACTGTACTCCAGCCTAGGCGACACAAAGGGACCCCAACTCAAAAAAGATAAGAACACCACAGAGACATCCCCCCGGACCCATCTCACCTCAGGACAACACCAATGCAGAGGAGCGTTCCGAAGGCCAGGCTTCCTCCAGCTGCCAGGAATGTGGGCAGCGGTACGGAGGAAGAATCTTGCACTAGGTAAAAAAAAAGAAGACAGATGAGGAGGAGGTGGAGAAAACCACACAGACAGTGCTGTCAAAAACCTCAAAGCAACCTCACCCCTGGAAGAGGAAACAGCTCTGCTGACCATCATCAGGCCACTCAACAAGCTGAACAGCTCTCCAGCAAAAACCAACTCTGGAAGAGCCGCCCCCAGCCTAGTCTGACAGACCCCCTGGATTCCACCACTTGACACGAGGCACACCTCAAGCTCAGACCTTCTGAGCTCCTGCGGCCAGCCACAGACTCCCACTCGCTCTCAGAGTGGCTTTTCTAGTGGCACTCCACCTGCCCCCACAAGGCACAGAGGGGGTACCAGAAATAGAAGTCTTTGAGGACCTCCTTGGTGGCAGCCTCACTGAGAATGGTATCAGAGCAGCTCAGGGACTCTAAATCAGGTAGAGGGAAGCAGTGTTCTCCATGGGGGTGTTATCTCCTGCCTGTCCCCCCACTTGGTACTCAAGCCCCAGCCACATGAACATCAGAGTTCTCCCATAAGCCATGGTCTCCTTCCTCCTGGGGTCTCCACATAGGCTCCCTCTTCTCTCCGGACGCCCCTCCCACCTTTGCTGCACCCCTTTGCTATCCAATCTTCACTTTGAGGTGTGACCCCACTCAAAGCTGGAGGTGTGACCCCACTCAAAGCTGGATAAGTGCTCCTTCGACTTTTGTTTTGTGTGGTTTTTTGGTTTGTTTGCTTGTTTGTTTTTGAGTCGGGATCTTACTCTGTTGCCCAGGATGGAGTGCAGTGGCATGATCACAGCTCATTGCTCGACCTCAAGTGATCTTTCCACTTCAGCCTCCCAAGTCTCTGGGACTACAGACACGTGCCACCACACCTGGCTAATTTTTTGTTTTGTTGTAGAGATGAGATCTCCCCATGTTGCCAAGGCTGGACTCGAATTCCTGGGCTCAAGCAATCCCCCCCACCCCAGCATCCCAAAGTGCTGGGACAACAGGCATGAACTACCGCACCCAACCCCTCCAGGTTGTTTCTCTGGTTCCGCCTCTATACTGTGCTCCCTGAAAGTGGGAGCACATGTGTCTTTTTCACCATTATACTCCCACAGTGCCCAGCACAGAACAGGTTCTCCAAACTAGTTCATCAAATGAAGGAAAGAACAAAGTAGCTTCACAGGCAGCCACATCTTCCCAAAGAAAGGTCATTCCTACAAATGTGAGACCCTGGACTGGACAGAGGATACATCAGAACAAAATCACCATCCTGTCCCTCTGCTGGGAATGCAGACAGTCGCACTGTATGGACCCAGGACCTAGGCTTTTCTATCTCAAATGGTATCCACTGTGGATGAAGAGGCCACCTGCCAATCATGGCTTCGGATGCCCACTGGAGGCAGGCCCAGGAGTGAGCCCAGACTGGTGCGTGGGCCTTGACTGCAAGGACAGGTCTCTCTGAGTAAGACCCAAGTATCTTGACAGAAGCGGTGTAATGAAAGCCGGACACCTGGTTTGCTCATGTATTACTATTCCATCATTTCTTATGTTCCTTCCTTCATTCAATAAACATTTATTGAGTGCATATCATATGCCAGGCTTTCTTCTAAGCCTCAAAGATGCAGAGAGAAATATGATTGTAAACCGTCTTCCCTCCTGGATCTAATCAAGGGAGACAGACAAATAAATAGTTTTTCAAAATTTACTTATCAGGAAAGGCCTGAGAAGGGGACATCTGAGCAGAGACCTGAATGTAGGAAGGAGCTGGCCAAGTGAAGGTCAGAGGACGAGTGTCCATGCAGAGCCAGCAGCAAGTGCAAAGGCCCGGAGGTAGAGGATGAAGATTTGGGAGTCACCAGCCCAAAGATGGGCTTTAGCGACATAGATTGGATGAGATCAGCTGTGAGGGTGGATGGGGAAGGCTCAAGAGTCCTCTCCTCCACAGCAGCCTCCGAATACCCAGCCTCCTGCCATCCTACCCACACCATTCAAGGCCCATTTCAAATGGCACCTCCTCCCTGAACTCTCTGGACTGCCCAGCTGGATTGGCTCTCTCACACTCTAAATTCTACTCAGCCTTATCTATGCCTCCCTTTGGCCCAGTGCTCTGCTCTTCGTCAGTTACTAGTTTACTCTTTGAAGAGTCGCCCACTGGATCTTGGGCCTTGGGCCTCCGTGAGAGCAGGGAGGGCTCTAATCGCCCAGCCTCAGGGATTCAGCAGGTCCTCCCTAGGTGTGCTTTGCCAGTGTCAGCCACAGGCAGGAATCCACCCAGGTAAGGGGAACGAGGCCAAGGATTTCCTCGCAAAGCCCAGGAGCCACCTGATGGAGTTATAGCTACTTGGCCAGGCACACTGGCTCATGCCTGTAATTCCTGCACTTGGGAGGAGACGGGGCCAAGGAGGGAGGATCACTTGAGGCCAGAAGCTCAAGACCACCCTGGGAAGCATAACAAGACCCCATCTCTACCCCCGCAAACTTATTTTTTATTTTTTATTTTTTGAGTTGGAGTCTTACTCTGTCGCCCAGGCTGGAGTGCAGTGGCATGCTCACAGCCACCACAGCCTTGACCTGCTGGACTCAGGCAATCTTTCCACCTCAGCTTTCCAAGTAGCTTCCGCACCCAACCTAATAATCCTAGCACTTTGGGAGGCTGAGGTGAGAGGATTGCCTGAGCTCACGGGTTCGAGACCAGCCTGGGCAACTTGGCGAGACCTCATCTCTACAATAAATCAAAAATTAGCTGGGCATGGTGGCGCTTGCCTATAGTCCCAGCTACTTGGAAAGTTGAGGCAGAAGGATCACCCGAGCCCAGCAGGCCGAGGCTACAGTGGCTATGAGCATGCCATTGCAGTCCAGCCTGGGTGACAGAGTGAGACTCCTACTCTAAAAAAATTAAAAAAAATTAAAAAAATTAAAAAAATAAAATATATATATATATATATACACAGAGAGAGAGAGAGAGAGAGAGAGAGAGAGAGAGAGAGAGGACAGGCCAGGTGTAGTGGCTCACACCTATAATCTCAACATTTTGAGAGGTAGAGGCAAGAGGACTGCCTGAGTCCAGAGGCTCGAGGCCAGCCTAGGCACCTTGGTAAGACCTCTTCTCTACAATAAATCAAAAAATTAGCCAAAAATGTGGTGGTACGCATATATATGTATATGTGTCATACACACACACACACACACACACACACACACACACACACACATGTACATATAATATACATACATATGTGTGCATACATATATATATATTATATATATAGTAGACACCACAAGTCCCATACATCTAATAAAACAAGCGTAGGACCTGTGAGCTTTCTTGAATCAATGTTAGTAAGTTTTCTTGGTCTTGCAGGTATAGGAAATCTGAAGCATTAAAATCAAGAGCTCCCAAAACAAAGACTTCCCTCAACAGGTACTCCAATTCAGACTCCAATCATTTCGTTGCTAGCACATTCCTTTGCATTGGGAGCCAAAGGTGAACTACTGCACTGATCTGTCCCATGCTTCTTATGGTCGCCTCTCTGTCTCTTAGCTAACAATATCAAAGCTCGACAAATAAAGTAATAAAAGAACATTTCTGCTGCTGACCTTCCGCCAACCAGTCCAAAGAAGAAAGGACTTTTTGCAGAGACAAGTCTCGGGACCCTCAGACCCTAGGAATACAAAAGTATCCAGTCCTTACCTGGAAGGCTTGTTGCATTTACAGAATCTTCATGGAGAACATCCTCATCACCCTTTGTGGTAGGTGCCTGAAAGAGACGTTCCTCACCATAAGCCCGTTTCTGCACATCCACCATCACTCAAACTCAGTGCAGAAGTCACCTCCTCCTCACTCCTGATCCACCCAAGGCTTTCCCTTCTCTCTTTCAGAACCTCCCGGTGTCTGACCTCAGTCCACCACAACTTTTTCACTCCTACTTGTATTATTCATATCCACATCTTGCCTGCGCAAACCTCCACCAAAAGCTTAAGGGCACAGCACCCTGCACAGAGGAGATACTCAACGGATACACTGAAGCAGCCACCATCCTTACAAGACTCGTGCCAGGGTGCAGGTACCAACACTAGCTGGGAAAAGTATCAACCAGAATCCAGGCTCTTCACTCACTAGCCATGTGACCTTGGGCAGATTTTCTCACCCTTGTGGGCCTCGGTTCTGCTCCCTTGGTAAGGTGAACATGAGGATGAAATAGCTCATTTGAGGCTCATGGTTTAGCAGGGCGTAGTCAGTCCTCAGTCAGTGTTCACTTCCTAGAGTCTATGCCAGGAGCACTCGAAGCCCCGGGGCACAGGTTTCACCTGCAGCTGTTCCCGCAGGAGTGCCCAGACAGCACTACCTCGAACATGGACACGGTTCAGAAGCCTCGAGCTCTGTCCCTGTGCTACCAGCTCCAGCAGGGGCTGTGCCTCCCAGCTTAGCACGAAGGGAATTAAGGACCACAGGAGGAGATAGTTGGATAGGAAATTGGATTACTCAAGGGATTTGTAAAGCAGATTCAAAGGTAATCCTCTTTCTAGCAAATTATAACACGAGGAGTCCACAGGGGAAGGACTCAGATGAACTGAATCCGAGTCTCAAGCTAAGCTGGTAGTGGTGTTCAATAAGCTCAGAGATGAAACAACAGCCAGCAGATGCAGGGCGGTTCTGGGTGCCAGGCCAGTGTCGCTCCACATAGTCCCACAGCCCTGGGACAAGAGAACTGCCATTGTCCCCTTTCACAGAGACTTGAAAGGCTGAGTAACTCACCCTTGGTCACAGGTCTAGTAAGAGGCAGAGCTGAGATTTAAGCCAAATTCTACCTGGTGCCAGCCCCATTCCCAACCACTAGGTGCTGCTGCCCTGGCCCTTTGGCAAGAACATAAGCTCACCGGCATGGAGGTGGGCACCGCAGTCTCAGCTGGAGGAGTCCTGGATTCTGTGGATAGACGGAAGGGTTGCTTTTAGTGAGTCATGGACCCTGGAGCCCTATCTGATGGGCTACAGAAGCAGAAGAAAATTTGCCACAATGTTATTTAAAACAAACATAACACTGAAGGCCTGGCGCAGTGGCTCATGCCTGTAATCCCAGCATTTTGGGAGACCAAGGCAAGAGGATAGCCTGAGTCCAGCGGTTCAAGACCAACCTGGGCAACCTGGTGAGACTGCGTCTCTACAATAAATCAAAAAATTAGCCAGGCATGGTGGTGTGCGCTTGTGGTTCCAGCTACTTGGAAGGCTGAGGCGGAAGAATCCCTGAGTCCAGCAGACTGTAAGCGTGCCACTGCACTCCAGCCTGGGTGACAGAGTGAAACTCTAACTCAAAAAAAAAAAAAAAAAACAAGGCAAGAAAGTCATGTAGTTTGATTCAAAGTTTCTAAAGAAACATATATTTATATCATTATTTATCATATAACACACTATATATAATAATATTATGTATTTGCACACAGGAAGAAAAAATACAGCATAGTTAACATTTTAACTTCCTTCTGTGCACCTTTTTTCAGTAAAAATATATATAACAAACAACACATTTTCATCTGCCTGGATGGGTTTGGCACACGTGGCTAGAGAAGCAACGTATCCCTCCCCCTCCATGAGAACACTGTTTCTGAAGAAGCCCCAAGTCAAGAGAAGGCCAAGTATCCAAGTGAGAGCCTGGGCCCCAGCCAGGATCTGAACTATGACAGGCACATGGGTGGAATGCTTTGGATTTCAAAATATTTTCTTGTCAGTTCATCGTTTTTCCATTAAGAAGTTTGAAATACCACAGAAAAGGTTTACACAAAGATGACGAGGCTCCTTGAGCCAGGAGCAGGAAGGATGACAAGAGGGTGGAGGAGAGGGTGACCCTGGTTCTGCTAGGGAGAGAATTTCCTGAATTTCTGGAGCATGCCACCACCAATAAGGGAGAAAACCACACACCAGCGACACTAGAAGGGACTTATGTACACATCCGCCCTTCTCATTCTACAGAGGGCAGAGGCCCAGAGAGGAAAAGCAACTTGTCCAAGGTCACACAGCAAGCATGACCAGAATTCATGTGAGAGACCCAGTTTCTTACTCCTCTGTGTTCCTCCCAGCCCAGCCTCACAGAGAATGGTTAGTCTATCACAGGGGATAACTGAAGGATGACCTGAGGGCATGGGGGAGCTAGAAGGAAAGCTAGAACCGGAGATAGGGCAGCACTAAACAGAAAGCATGGCTAAGGACGGATGGTCACTCAGCCCAGTGGGTTGCCAAACCCAGTCGCATCTAGCATCATTGGGAAACTTTTTAGGTACCACCCAAGACCTGTGGCCTCAGAATCTTGGGGATGGGAGCCCCTCATTAGGGTTTTTTGTTCCTGACAAGTCAGAGTTTATTAGAAGATAGGAAAGCTCTTGGCAGCGAGAGGGGACCCAAAAGTGGGTTGTCCTCATTAGGATTTTTAAAAGGCTCCCCAGGCCGGGCATAGTGGCTCACTCCTGTAATCCCAGCACTTCGGGAGCCAAGACAGGAGGATCGCTTGAGCCCAGGAGTTTGAGACCAACCTGGACAAAATAGTGAGACCCACACAGCTCCCAAAATTAAAAAAAAAAAAAAAATTAGCCAGGCGTGGTGGCATGTGCCTATAGTCCCAGCTGTTCCAGAGGCTGAGACGGGAGGATCACCTGAGCTAGCCCGAGGGGTCAAGGCTATGGTGTACCATGACTGTGCACTGCACTCCAGCTTGAGTGGCAGAGTGAGACCTCACCTCGACCAATCAATCAATCAATCAATAGCTCCCCAAACTCAGAGATGCTTCAGAAAGAAAGGTTTCCTCCCTCAGTCCTGACCCCCAACACGGCACGTGGTCCACAGGATGATGCATAAACCCCTGGTGGCTCAGATTTCAGGGTTAAAGTGGGAATGAACCACAAAGCCACAGGATGAGGGGAGGGGGGATGGAGGGACCCGCAGGCTGAGCAGCTGAGGCAGTAATGCCTTCCACCCTGGGCATACTTATACCCTACTTCACACCTCTCTCCACAGCCTCTAAACCACCAACCAGAGTTAATCACTGCTCCTCCATCTGTGCAAGAGACAAGAAAACAAACCTCACTGAGAAGTGACAGTCTCCTGAGAAGAAATGAGTCACCTCCAGCTGGGTCCTAAACACCACCCAGGATGGTCTGCAGAGAGATGTTTCCTGGTCTAAAGCCAAAGGAGAAAAACATGGGAAAGACTGGGTGTGGATCTACATGGTAAAAGGTTGCTGGAAGTGTCTTTCACCCTGAGATTAAGCCCTTCCTTGTTGAGGGAGTGGTTAAGGCATCCTTGTTTTTATGAAATGATGGGGGTGATAATGGCACTCGCTAGTTTCCACTTGCTTGTTTAATGTGATGTCCTTAGCAAACTTAAAAGCTGACAAGCTTCGCTGGTTCCCAGAACTGTTTTTAACATGTTACAGACTCGTGAAATCTTAATGTCTGGAAACCTCTAAGCTATGCACAGGGCAGTAGGGTGGACGGGCAGTGGGGAGTGTGTGGGAGGAGGGGATGCGGAGAGGAGCCTGGAAAGAGCAGGGTGCACCCGAGAACGGAGGAGGGTCACGTGCCAGGGCTGAGCCAGGACAGCGCAGTGGAGAGACCCATGAGGGAGGTCAGGTACGAGGGAGAGGTGGTGGGGCAGCCCGAGAAGGGCCTTGCACCAAGATAGGAGCTCAAACCCTACCCTAAAAACAACAGGAGCTGTGACCGTTGCCCAGGCTGGTCTTGAACCTGTGGGCTCAGGCAAGGAGGGCAACAGAGGCAGGCTTGGGACTTAGATGCCTGGGTGAGCCAGGCCCTACTCTCAAGGGGGCAGCAGTTGCTGAAGTCTAGACTCCCCCAGCCCCCCACTCCGTAACCTCCACCTCCAGTCCCACGGGAGCCCTCCACGGTCTGCCTGCCCCTGCCTCACTCGGAGCTCCCACCTGCACTTCTGTGCTCCAGCCTCCCCAGGGTGCTCCACTCACCCCCCTCTTGCTCACCGCTCTGTGCCTTTGCTGTTCCCTCTGCCTACAATCCCCAGTTTCTATCTGGGACACTCTCACACATCCTCCAAGACACAACTCAACGGTCCCCTCCTCCAGAAAGCTTTGCCTGCTACCTCTAAACCGCTCAGACAGAAAATTCTGCTCACAGCCGATCGTGCTGTATTACAGTGGGGCGTTCCCCTTCCAGTCACCCCCCCACCCCACCCCCACACACACTGAAATCACCAGGAAAACTTTCTCACACTACATGCTTCACTTCCCCCTTCAGACTCGGACTCAGTGGGCCCAGGATGGCACCCGGGACAGCGATGCAGGGTTGCTCAAATCACAGCCCCACCCTCACCCCCAGAACCAACAATGCCCTGTAACTGGCCATTCCCATCATGTTTGCAGCATGCTGTATCGTGTCTAAAGAATACGGAGTCTCACTCCATCCCCCAGGCTGGAGTCCAGTGGCATGCTCACGGCCACCACAACCTCGACCTGCTGGGCTCAGGCGATCCTTCTGCCTCAGCCTTCCAAGTAGCCAGAACTACAGGCGCGCACTACCACGCCCAGCTAATTTTTTAATTTATTGTAGAGACGAGGTCTCGCCAAGTTGCCCAGGCTGGTCTTGAACCTGTGGGCTCAGGCAACCCACTCACCTCGGCCTCCCAAAGTGCAGGGATTTCAGGCTGAGCCACCAAGCCTGGCCAGAATATGTTTTCATCAGGCTCCCACAAAGTCTCCAAAGGGGACAAGATAGATCATATCATCCCTACTTTACAAATGACAAGACTGAGGCTCTGAGAGATAAACTAACTTTACCAGTCTCATACAACCTGATCCCTAGGTCCTTTGCGCTTCCAAGTCACCACCCCAACACCTATGCTGGGAGGCAGGAGCATACTCCTATCTGGGCTTTGAGAAATGAAGGCCCTTAGGATCTGGAAGCCAACTGGTACAGTATCCAGTGCACTGACACAACCCAAACAGCCAAATAACTCCACTGTCGGGGAAACACACCTTACTTGGTGTTCTAACCGCCCTCTTATTTTCCAGAACCACTCCTCAATTTCCAACCTAAATCTCGTGTCAGAATTTCCTTTTCATCACATTTCTTACTCTGCCCTCAGCACAAAGGGGAGCAGCAGATTTCTTTCTTGGATGTATTCATCACTGGGGTTTTGAAGAATTCCTCCACCCCAAACCACACATGTACAGGATGGAGGGAGCCCAAGGTCTTCTGTTGCTTACATGAGAAAAAGCCAAGCACTCTGTCTGAGCTCACATGGTTAGTCCAGCAGGCCACAGAAGCACAGTAACCTGAGGCCAGAAAGCGGATACTGCAGTCCTGTTCCAGCAGCCCTGGCTACAATTATCTTCCACTGGAGGGGAGGTGTGTCAGCAGGTTAAAGAGGGACAGCTGCTGGCCCAGTGGCTCAGGCCGGAATTCCAGCACTTTGGGAGGCCGAGGCGAGAGGATTGCCTGAGCCCAGAGTTTGAGACCCGGGCAACTTGGCAAGACCTCGTCTCTACAATAAAATAAAATAAAAAACTAGCCAGACATGGTGGTGTGGGCGTGTAGCTCCAGCTACTTGGAAGGCTGAGGCGGAAGGATCACCTGAGTCCAGGAGGTTGAGGCTGCAGTGGCCGTGAGCATGCCACTGCACTCCAGCCTGGGCGACAGAGTAAGATTCCAACTCAAAAAAAGGAAAAGAAGAACAGGGACATCTACAAATGGGACCAGATTCAGAGGAAAGTGATCAGACAGATGAGAAACTCACAAACCATCCCGTATAACAGCCTGGGAAGAGGAGCCCATGTAGATGCAGGTCCTCTGGAAACTTCAGAAGAATTCAGAGACAGCAGACTAGCAGATTTGTTATGGGTTACCCACAGGTCAGAGCAAGGGTCAATGAGGCCAGAGTTGGGTCCACATATGAAAGAACTTTCCT